TGATCTCTGCCATGCTCGAGCCCGTTGTTACATATCTGTGTCAATCGATGTCATTGTCTTCCTCTTCTGTTCAACTTTCTTATTTCCTGGTTTTTGCTTTAGCTTCTCTACAATCTAGAGCAGGTTTCAGAAATCTGTTCTGACATCCATTTTGATCTTTCCTGTATGCTTAATGAATTTTTTTTTTTTACTGGTATGGTACCCTTTACACAACTTCTTTGGTTTTTATTCACCAATGTTCAATGCATTAAAACTTTTTAAGATGGTCTCTAAACATAAGCAGAAAATACTCAAGATCGAATTTTGGCTCACATGATCTTATTTTACTTTTCAACTTTCATTTGAACTTGCACATTTACAAGTAATGGTCTGTTCCACAGCCAGGCCCTAGACTTGTATTAACTGATGATACTGAGTTTTTCCACTGTCTCTTTATGAATGTAACTTATTTAATTCTCCTATGTATTCCACCTGGCAAGAGTCATATGCATAGTCACTATGCTTTTTAAATAAGATATTTGCAATAAATAGTTATTGTTATATGCCATCAAGTTGCCTGCGAACCTAGCAACCCTATGTAGAGCAGCTCTAAATCCTGCCCTGTCCTAAGCAAGTCTAATTTCTACACACTTACCCCCATTGCCCTAGTTACTGTATCAATCCATCTCATCCAGGGTCTTCCTCTCCTGAGCTGTCCTTCTACCTTTCCAAGCATGATGTCCTCCAAGGATCAGTCTCTCCTAGCCGCATGCCCAAAGTATGTGAGACAGAGCTTCACAATTCTAGCCTCCAAGGAGAAACTTGGTTTCACTTTCTCCAAGACAGACCTACTTGGTTTCTTGGTAGTCCATGTTCAAGACTCTTCTCCAGCACCACAACTCAAAGGCAGCAATTCTTCTTCTGTCATCTTTAGTCACTGTCCAGCTCTCTGACATATAGCAAGTAATTGCGAAGACCATGGGCTGCATCAGGTGCACCTTAGTCTCTAGACTGATATCGTTGCTTTTCAGTACTCTGGAGGGGTCCCTGACAGCAGATTTCCCCAATGCAATTCGTCTTTTGATTTCCTGACTGCTGGTGCCAAGAGTCATCATAAACACAAAAATCAAAGTCATATTTTCCAGCCAGCCAGTTCTCCTGTTTCCAACCTTTACATTCTAATCACCAGTTATTATTATTCATGAAACTTGATGGCATCTTTGATCAATTTCAGACTGAAATTTCATTTTCTTCATCCTTGGCTTTAGGCGTTGGTGGCAAGTTTGAATGATAATGCCTGCAGTATGGAGCCCTGGTGGTGTAGTGATTAAACACTGAGCTGTTGACTTAAGTCAGGGTTGCTGTTTGACCTCACCAGCCACTCTGAGATGTGACAGTCTGCTTTACTACACTGGAAAAACCCAGTGAGACAGTTTTACTCTGTCTTACCAGGTTGATAGGATCAATTTGATGGCTATAGGTTTGGATTTGGTGTCTATAGTGCTGAAAATAAACAGGAGAAGAGCAGGCACAGGTCCAGTGACCAGTGAGGCAGATGTTGGTGGCAAGAACCCAAATGATGATGGAGAGAGAGAAAAAATAAGCAAGTTGAGGGGACACTTGGAAGACAAAGTCACTGAGATCTCAGAGAGTGGACGTGGGAGGTGAGGAGAGTGAGTGCCAAGAATGACCCTCAGGTCACCAATTTGAGTAGCATGAGTGGATGATGATTGATGCCATTCGTTGACTCAGCAACCACTGAAGAGGAGTGGGCTTGAACATCTGAGATGGAAGTGCAAAGGGATTTATAGATCTACAAAAGAAGGCAGCTCTGGAGGCCTACTGCTAAGAAGCTGCACTGCAGCTACAACTCTAAGGCACAAGGTTCAAATCCGCAGACGCTCAGAGGGAGAAAGATGGGTTAGTCTTCTCCAGTGCAATTTCAAGCCTCTGATAACCCACTGCAAGTTCAGCTCTTGGTTCAACCAAAGCAGGTTAAAAAAGTTCTGAGCTTAGAGATATAAACTTAGGAGTTAGCAGTTCGCCGCTGTGGCCTCCATTGCTCACAGATCTGCGCTCTGCCCTCTGAACTCTAGATTGTCTTGAAAATTGTGCACAACAGTCTGACCTATACAGATCTTAGGAGAATTATTAGCATTTTCTCTGAGGGCCTGTTAATTCAGCCTAAGATTAAATTATCTTTATAGCCACCCTCAATATCCAGTTGGCTCCTTTTGAGAATGTCATTAACCAAAACCCTAGAGTCTTTATTTCACACATGCCCCTGGATGGGACACACATCCTGGGCTGCTGACCAGAAGACTGGAGATGGGAGTCCACACCCGGGCACCTAAAAAGAGAGATGTGGTGATCAACTTCAGATCATCTATTGGCAACACGATGTGCAGTTAGCCTGTGTTCACACGGGAGCATTGCTCTGAGCCAGAATTGGCTCCATAGCAACTGTTACTGGCTGTTAAGCATGGTCTGCCGATTCCAATACTTTCAACTGTTTCTTTTTTCTCTTTTCAACCAAATTTGAACTATATTTATTGCCTTCTTGGTGGTTATGACTTATTATGCCAGGCTTCTGAGAGAATTTAGGATCTTGATTCTAACTTGTATCCAAAGAGCTGACATCTGTTGGGTCATTTTCATACTCGATCAGCCTAACTCCATGTTTCCCAGGCCCTCATAAAATTCCTAAATTTGTCCAAGGTAAAACAAAACAAAAACAAAAAATTATATTATTATAGATTGTGAAAAGATTGAGATTGTAAACAGCTTTAGTTTGCTTGGCTCCACAATCAACACTCTTGGTACCAGCAGCCAGGAAATCAAAAGACTAATTGCATTGGTAAAGTCTGCTCTCAGGGACCTCTCCAGAGTACTGAAGAGCAATAACGTCAGTCTGGAGACTAAGGTGCACTTAATCCAGGCCAAAGTCTTTGCAATTATTTGCTATGCATCAGAAAGCTGAACAATGGCTAGGAATGATAGAGAATTGATGCCTTTGAGCTATGATGCTGGAGAAGAGTACTGCATATACCATGCACTGCCAGGAAAACAAACAACTTTGTCCTGGAGTGGGGAAAACCAGGCTTCTCCTTGGAGGCAAGGATTCTGAGGCTTTGGACATGTCGCAAGGAGGGACCAGTCCTTGGAGAAAGACATCATGCTTGGGAGGGAGGACGGGCACAAGAGAAGAAAACCCTTGATAAGATGGAATGATTCAGTGACTGGGGTTATGAGGGTAGATGTGTCAGAGGCAGTAAGTTTTGGCACAGGACAGAGCAGGTTACAGGGCTATTGTATATAAGGTTGCTATGAGTCACAAGCGACTTGATGGCATATAACGACAACAACAACTGAAAAGGTATTGTTTTATTCTAATGGGAGTAATTTTCTAACATTTTTTCTAATTTTTAAAATTTTACATTGGCTTGTTTTATCCTTTTGGTTTAAATATAGACAAAAATCCTCAGTAGTATTAGCAATTTGTCACTAACAAGATATCACAGCTATTTTTATGCCCAGTTAAAATCGCCAAAATCTCAAAATAGCATTTTGCTCATTACTTCTTGGAAATGTCAGCAGTTACTGTACCTCCTCCCAGATCTTGCTACCAAAAGTATTAAGAAGCAGCTTACACATTATAGCATAATTTTAAACATTTTGCTAATGATTTGAAGTGGTTTTCTTTTAAATATGTATTTCTTTTGAGCAAAAATCTGAGGAGGAGTAAGTACACTCCTTCAGATTGCCAAAAGGGTCTTGTTGTGTTGTTATGGGACAAGTCAGAACCAGCTCATAACTGACCCTCCAGTGGGTTTTCACAGGCTATAAATCACATAAAAGAATGCTTGTCTTTCTCCTGTGGAGAATCCAGCTGATGGATTTTAACCACCTGCTTTCGGGTTGGCAGGACAACTCTTTACCCACTAGACCATCAGAGTTCCCTCTAAAAGGATCTATTATTGTTGTGTACTGTTGAGTCAGAAATGACTCCTAGCTGACCCTCCAGTAAGTTTCCAAAGGCAGTAAATGGCATGAGAGGAGGTTGCTCATCTGTCTGCTGCAAAGCAGCTGGTGGATTCTAACCAGGTACCTTTGTGTTGGCAGACAATTCTTTACCACTAAGCTCCAGTGGCTAGTGGTAAGGAGTTGTGCTGCCATCCCCAAGGCACAGAGTTCAAATCTACCAACTGCTCTGCAGGAGCAATTAAACTGCCTCTGAAAACCATGGGAGGGCCAGCTATGGGTCGGTTCCAACTTGACTGTAAACAATAGCTACCAGAGCTCTCTCTAAAAGGATCTAGGGTGCACACACACACACAATTAGGAACTCCTGGCCTAATCTGCCTCCTTAACCAGTAAGGAAGAGACAGAGCTGGGCCTCCTTCAGAAGTCTCCCAGTAGATGTGGTTCAGTGTTGCCAGCTGCAGTACAGTCCCACGGCAATGACACGTGTCACAGACTAGAACTGCCTACCTACTACCACCCAGGTGACTCTAAATTCTGCTGAACCCCTACCAGGTTTTGAAGATTTCATCTTTTTAATAGGAGAATGTCTATCATTCTCCCACAATTAGATGGTGGATTTGAACCACTGACCTTTCAGTTAGTGGCCCAACACCTAAGGCACTTCACCTATAATCTTTACAGAAAGTCTTTTCTTCCTTCCACCTCCCCCCCTCCCATGGAGCCACTGGGTGGGTCTGAATCACCAGCCTTTCAGTTATTGATGGATCACAAATCACCTGAGTCACCCAGGCTCCTGGACATAGTGCATCTATTCATGTAGTTCCTGAGGTCCCACAGTTAAGTAGCAATAGAACAGAAGCAACGGGGAGTAGGAGGAAAAGAGAAAGAAGCAAAGGAAATGGCTTGATGGGGAAAGAGTGATCATTGCTCTGGCTCCCGGCTCCAGCATCGCAGCATCAGCTCATACAGGCTCAGTGGGCTTGATGTGGAAGCAAGAGACAGACTGTACCCAAACCCCAAGAAACCCAACTCATAGCTGTGGAAAACTCAACCTTTATTATTACCTGCCTAGAGCAGGGGATTAAAATTGCCTCAAGCTAGTTCATATATTAGTGTAAAAATCTGTGTCTCTCCCCCCAAAAAAATGTACAAATCCCTCTATAAGTGATTATAGAAAAACCAATGTGGCAGCTACAATAGAGATGTCCAAACCCAAGGGCCACAGGCCAAGGCTCCCTCTTTTCCCCTAATCCCAGTATTTATTCCACAGAAACGTACAGATTTAGAGACGTTCTAGCTACAAAATGGCAGGAGGGAAGTGAGGATGGTGGGGAGCATGGTTTAGCCCCAGGTCCAGTGTTTCAGGGCAAGGAGGAGGGAGAAGCCAAAGGTGAGGACAAGTCCAGGAGTGGGCACCAGGGAGCAGTTCTCCCCTTCTTGTCCTCCTGGCCCCTCGGATTCTCAGTCAGCAGTGTCCAGTGTGTGACGGGAAAGAGAGGCTGGGAAGGGGCCACAGCCATCTCTCCAGCAACCAGTGTTATCCAGTGGGGCCCAGGTGCCCCAGCAGGCCATGTCCAGTGTCTGCCTGGTTTTTGCCCCCACCTCCCCCACAAGGGATGGCTGGAAGAGGTCAGAGAGGATCCCATCCACAGGGCCAGCTGGGTGGGTGGCGGGGCTTCTAGGAGTGGAGATGGGACTAGGGGCAGGGATGGGGGCACAATGGCATGTCCGGGCAGAAAGGGTGTCACTCCCTGGGCAGACTCAGTCCACCTGTGTCACAGGATTCAGATGTGATGGGAGGCTGAGTGGGGCAGGAGTGTCCTTGTCTCTTCAAGCTCACCCTGAATCCTCCCCAAGGGCAGCGTGGCCTGATGCTGGGGTTCACACTGTGTTGAGCGCATCTTCTGTCAGGAACCGGTGCAGCTGGGAAAAGGGTGGTCGTTGCTCTGGCTCCCGGCTCCAGCATCGCAGCATCAGCTCATACAGGCTCAGTGGGCAGGCAGGGGGCCGAGACAGGTATACCTGCTTAGTGGCAGGGGGAGTGAGAGGCAGAAGACTGATGTTCTTTGATCCCCACGATGATAAGCTGTGCCCCTCCCTGGCTCCCAGGCCCACCTCCCCACCCCTCCCTTCTGACCTGCCGGCCTTGGTCCCTGAAGAACTCCCCTGCATTTTCGATGACTTGCTCATCAGTGAGTTGTCCAAAGGGCTGGGCCCTGCAGAGCATCAGCACCTCCCACAGGGTCACCCCGAAGGCCCACACGTCACTTGCTGTTGTGAACTTCCCCTGGTGCACGAATACGACAAGACAGACAGAGAAGGGATCAGGTCCTGGGGAACCTCTTTTTCCCACAAGAGCTCCAAGGTCACCCCTCCCCAGCCTAGTACCTCCTGTCTTCCTGGCCCACCTTTCCCAACAAGCCTGGCCCTCTCGCCTAAGGCCTTGTCTTCCTCATGCTCTGGTCTTCTCTCTTGGTGCCTGGGCCCACCTCTTCCATCTTTCATCCATCCTTCCACTCTGCTTCGCTCCCTTTTCTCTGATTCCTACTTTCTATCTCACACCCAAACTCTTCAATCTATGGCTTCCATTGTCATTATCTTTCTTATTCTCTGCACCCTTATGTCATCTTCCTACTCATTCCTGGTTTCCAGACCCTTTCCCCATCATTATACAGCTCCTTGCTTTATCCAATCCCTTCAGTCAAAAGGAACTGTACAGAGCATGGACCAAACCCCAAGTTACAGGTGAGGAAATTACAATGCAGAAAAGTGAGAGTCTCTGAAGGGGACCCCAGACTGTAAGGGGACAGCCAGTGCTCTGTCCAAAAAACCAAGGTGCCTGTGCAGCCCAACCCCTCCTTCTGGCACGCACCATGAGGATGCACTCCCAGGCCATCCACCGGATGGGCAGCACTGCCCGGCCCTGTACCCGGTAATAGTCCCCAGCGTAGAGGTTGCGACTCATGCCAAAGTCAGCTATTTTAATGGTGAAATTTTCTCCAACCAGACAGTTCCTCGTGGCCAGGTCACGATGCACAAAGTTGAGTGTGGCCAGATAGCGCATGCCTGAGGCGATCTGGGCTGCCACGTGCAGCAGCATCGGGTAGCTGAGGAAGAGGTGCCAACAGAGTCACTGTGAGGGCAGCTGTGGATACTCCTCACTTTGCAGATTCCCACCCAGGATAGAAAAGGGGGAGCCCACTCCCCAGACCAAGGGGCGGAGGCAGGACACTGCCCCTCCCCTCTGTGGAAGTCAGGTGGCAGGAGCCCTTATAAGCTCTCTTTGGCTTATCCAACCCCAGGGAGCTACTCATGTTTTACCATCCGGACTCAGAAGGAATGAGGGTTGGGGAGGGCAGAAGAGAAAATTCCTGGTTTCTTCACCTGACCGTGGCAGTTCCTGAATTGACATGGTCTTCTCTTCTACCTCATCTCAGGCCCCTCCTAGACCCTCCCGCCTCCCCTCTGCTCATATCCATCCTGCTCTCCAGGGTGGGGGGAAGGGCAGCAGGCAGATCTCCAGGGTTGGGGATCAAGGGAAGCCCAGCCTTGGGTATGGGGTTACCTGATGGTGGGCCCCTGAGCAGCCTCCCCGTCTCCTGGCGCCCCCTCTGCTGCCTTGTCCTCTAGCTGGTGGGCACTGAGGAACTGATTCAGGTCGCCATTCTCCATGTAGTCAGTTATCATACAGAGGGGGTCGTCCTGCACACACACGCCCAAGAGCCGGATGATGTTGGGGTCCTTTAGCCGTGACATGATCTTCACCTCCTTCAAGAAATCATTCCTGAAAAGCAGGAAGAGGTCAAGAGACAAGCCAAAAGGGTGACAGGCACCTCCCTCCTGCTTACCCTGCCACCCCGATACACATGCCTGATTCCCCCCCGGATACACATGCCTGATTCACCCGTGATGTGGTGGCCCGAGATCGCTCCCTCCTCACAGGGTCTCCTTCCCCAGTCTCTACCCCTCAGTCAGGTTCCTACATATTTCTCTCCAGATGTCCCTGCTCTTCATGGCCTCCCTTTCTTCCAGATACCAGTCTTGCCCCTCACCTGGCATTCTTGGTGGCATCTGGCCGTAGGATTTTGACAGCTACCAGCAAGGGATGTCCTTTGCGTACATGAAGGGGGAAATCAAGGCTGACCAGATCTTGAGGGCTTTCTACCTCACACAGGTGCACCTGGAGGAGGAAGGCCATTTGCTAAGCACTCATAGGGTTAACAGCATAAAAGTGACCACAGAGGCATGCGGGCATGGTGACGTGTCTCTAATCAGGTCAGACACTACACCTCCTGGGCAGGGACCCTCCTTACCTCCCCGAACTGTCCCTCGCCAAGCTTTTCCTTGAAGCGAAGCCTCGATCGAGGGAAATCCACTCTGGGGGGCCCATCCCCAACTGCCCCTGGGGGCAGTGCAGGCACAGCATAGGTGTTGCCGCCAGTGACACCTTGCAGAGTGACAATGTCAGCCTCAGCATAATGGGGAACACTGTTCTGGGGAGGAGGGGGTAGAAGTGGGGCACCCGGCTTCTCTGGCTCCATATAGTCCCCATTGAAGGCTGATGGATTAAAGGAAAGAAGAGAAGAGAGGTGTCAGGAATAGTGCAGCTCCCTGAAAGCCCCAGTTCTCCATGCCCCAGCCTCACAGAAGCCCCATAATTCCTAACTACTGAGAGACTGGGTCCATCCTGCATCTTCCCTGGTATATTCCACCCACAACTTTAAACCAGAGATAAGATGCTGGCATGAGATGAGAGTTAGCCATTCTCAAGGTGGTCAGGCAAAGAATGGCACTGAGTCTTACTCTCTTAGAGACTGTCCATAACCCAGCAGACATGAGGTAACAGGATTCCTGTAGCCACCATCAGAAGAATGGCTCCAGCCATCCAGGCACCCTCCCTTTATCCCTCAACACCTTTATCCCTCCCACCTTCAGTTACTGCCTCTACACTTAGTTCTTTTACTCCCTCTACCCTCGGGCTGAAGCCCGGCTTTTCCTACCATCACTGCCCAAACCCTCCCTGCCCCAGCACACCAAGCTCAAAGACAAGCAGAGACAGAGGCACACAGAGAACAGGAGAGGGGAAGAGCTCCTCACAGTTCCCACAATGAGGAGTCTACAGACAGAAGGAGGGGAAGCAAAGCTGTCCCCCTGTATCCTAGAAAGAGGAAAACAACAAGAAGGCGACACCAAGGAGAGGAGGAGCAGACAGAAAGGGTGGGGCGTGAGCCTTCACCTCTGGGACTGCAGAGAGAGGACACGCAGGGGGAGGGGGCTAACGCCCAGGGTGAGAGGCCCTCCTCCTCGCAGCTCTAGAGAGAGGGGAGAATAAAGGGGGGTTACAAGAGAGCCTGGAACCACCACAACCTCTTCTCCGGCTCTGGAGAGCTTAAGAGATGGGGTGGAAAAGAGGAGGTATGCAGAGCTGAGAATCAGTAAGCTTTCTATCACTTGGTTCATGGGAGAGGCCGCAAAAAGGAGCAAGAAGCAGCAGAGGAGAGCTAAGGGCAGAAGAGTTTCCTCCGTGGGAGCTCAGGAGAGCAGACGAGGCTCCAGTCAAGAAAGGAGGGAGTGCAAGGGGTGAGGACATTCCCTACCCCACAGGAGTCTGGGGAGCCTGGAGGAGCCCAGGGGCAGAGGGGCTTACCCTGGGTGTTGGTGGGTTTGGCCCAGGCGGGTGTGGGGGGGCCAGGGCCTCGAGGGGGGCGGGCGTAAGTGGCCAGAAGGAGGCGGTAGGCCGGATTGGAGAGCAGCAACGCTGTCGGGAGAAGGAGGGGGGAGACACGGGGAAGGGATGAGACTCAAGGCTAGACAGACAAGGAAATCTAGAATAGGGCAAGACCGGGCTGATAGGGATAATGAGGACCTGGCGAGTGATGGGTATGGAAAATAGATGGAGGATGGCTAGATGAATGAAGCATGGGTGGATAATGGGTAGATAAATGTATGTATATATGGGTGAATGATGGATGGATGGCCAAATGAATGACAGATGGATAGAAGAATGGCAGAAAGATGAATAAATAATGGCTAGATATAAGATTGAATGGATCAATGTATGTACATATGGACAGACGGGTGAGGGATGGATTGGCAAATGGAAAATAAATGAAGAATGGATGGATGATGGATGAATATATAAAGGTATATATGGGTGGATGATGGCTAGATGAAATATAATAATATAAATATAAATAATAAATATAATAAAACAATAAATGAGTTACAGATATGTGGACTGAAAGATGAAGTGTCAGTTCCTCTTATATATTTATACATATAAGTGTGTGTGTGTGAGAGAGAGAGACACGAATGAATAGGTAGATGATGGATGAATGTATAAGTGTATATATATATACAGGTTTATGATGAATTGATGAATATATATATGTGAATGGATGGCGGATGAATGGTTAGATGGCTAAATGGATGATAGATGGATAGATGAATGGCAGATGGAAAGATGAATGAATGAGGACTGGATAAATGATTGTGTGGATGATGGATGGACAGATATACATATGTACGAACAGATGGATGAAGAATGGACGGAATGAATATACTGAGTCTAGGAGAAAGGGGAGAGGACCAGGAGACATACTGAGGGTACACTAGGAATGACAGAGAGAAAAGTATGGGACACAGAGACAAGATGAGACTACCAAGGACTATGGATAAGACCTGAGAAATTCTCAAGGGAAATTATATGGCAGGGACGTGGCAGATGACCAGGGGCAAAGAAGTAGGAAAATTAGTTACAACTAGGGAGGACAGGAAAAGAAATAAATGGGAAAGAAGAAAAGACAGGAATACAATAAAACAGGCAGACAGAGAGGGCAGAGGCAGGACTGGAACAAGGCAGGTCTTACCAGAGCCATTGGGGGCACTGGGAGCAGAGTGGGGTGGGTTCCCACGAGGCCGAGGCTCCTGGTAAGGGGGTGGCTCTCGAGGGCCTGGGCGGTTGTTAATGAGGATAGTGTCCCCAGGGACTGAAAGATGAACCGTCAGTTCCTCTTCTAATACCCGACGCTCGGCCTTGTTATGGAGAATGGGAAATGTTAATGGAAGCTACTGACACCCACTTTTCCTGGCACTATGTTCAGTGTTCTACCCATATGAGCTCCATTCTGCAGACAAGGAAACTGAGGCTCAAAAGCATTTAAGTATCATATCTGAGGTCATGAAATGGCACTCCAAACCAAATATGGTCTGTCTATAATTATCTGCTTTAACATATATCATTACCACTGAACTGTGACTTAGAAGATGTGGGCTTGGAGTGTGCCACACTCCGTCTACCCCTTTCCCTCCACGCTGCCCTTCTTCACCCTTCTTCTGCCCCAAGAAGCTGATCGGTATGGACTGAATCTAAAAGATTTCTGGTTGGGTTTGGCCAAAGAGGAGCCCCACCAGAAATCTGAAGGGAAGGTGGAAAAGGAAGTTCCTGCTGCGCCCTTGAGGGTGGGCCCCAGCTACGTCCTCCATCAAACCCATAGGTGCTCCCTCCCTGGTTCTCGCAGCGGCCCCTCCCCTCACCCTGGCCGACCCAGGGATGGTCACACACTGCAGTGTCTAGTTTTGGATACACTATTTTCCTTGTGATTTCTATGTACCCTGCCCACTCCTTTGTACATGGTCACTTTACTACACTTTCTTCTAATGATCCTAACTTGACTATGCCCTGTGTTCTGTGCTGCACCTAATTAACAGAGGTGTCCAGGCACATGTTGCCCTCAGCCTCCACACCCACATCCTGCCCTCATGAGGCTGCCCACACCCCCAGCCCCTGGCCAGCTCCCACCTTGCTGAGAAGACGGCGCCAGTGCAGCCTCCAGAGCATGAGTGCGATGATGAGCAGCAGTAGTAGGATGATGGCCACCAGGCACCCGATAAGGATGGCGGTTGGGCTCCCCTCAGCCTTGGCCACAGGCTGCTGGCCCCTGGGCTCCAGCTCTGGTGGATGCAGAAGAGTCAGGACCAGAGGAGACTTCCAACCCAACCCAAGAGGGGGAGGCCCAGGGAGAAAAAGTGGAATGGGGTCCATGGGCCTAGATAATGGCTGTTCAGACAAAGCCCAGAAGCTGCTCACCCAGGCTGCTGAAGTTGGTGGGAGGTGGGCCCGGAGGCCACCATGGAGCGGGTGGAAAGGTGCCCCCCAGACCTGCAGAGGAGTCGTTCACGACATCTGGGGTAAAGTAAGCAAGGAAAACGAGGAAGTGAGATAAAGAACTGCAATAAGTGGGGCATGCTGGGGTGAGACCTCAGGCACTGAGCTGGTGGTACAGCAAAGAGACTGGGTGAGATTCACATTATATAACTGACCATATTCTGTTACTGGAAAGGGTGCCTGTCCATTAGAACTGGTGGTGGGAGCAAAACCCCAGAGGTCTCTTGCTGCTGCACAAATTATAATCCCTTAAGTGCTGGATTACAGAGAGGCAGAGTACTCCAGGGGGCCCCTCAGTGACAGTCTTGGGTATCAGGAAGCTCAGTAAAGGGGTAATTTCCCCATCAAGCACACAAATATTTTAGTATTTCAACAATGCTGTCAAACTGACCATGACTAAAGGGTTCATAAAGGCAAGAGAGAGAGATAGGGGACAAGGAAAGGAGGGGTACACATTATTTTGAGGATCTAAAGTAATTATGGGGAAGTCTGATAGGTAGAGATGACATTAGGCATCATGGGTATTTGGGGAACTTCAAGGTTCAGGGGAATCACATCAGGGGAACGAACCCACGGGGGTCAGGGTTAGGTGTAACCAGCCGCTTACCAGAAGTGAAGGCGATCTCACTGAAGAGGAGCCAAGGCCCAGAAAAGAGGAAACGGCATTGCAGAAAGCGACCTAGGCGGCCCCCCAGGGGCACTGTGACAACTCGGGCTCTGGGGTCCCCTAGGCTGCCCCCCAGTGCATGGCGCACCGGCTCCCCTTCCCAGGCCATGGCAGGGCCCCGCTTGAAGCGACACTCCACCCCACCGGGCAGGCGGGCTCCCAGTGTGTGCATGTTGTTGCAGTGGACCTGAGGGCAAGTAGAAGGGACACAAGTGTCAAGACCAAAGGCACCCAGTGGGCACCACCGTTGGTCTCAGAATCCACCTCTGAGAAACGAAGGCACTCACCTGCATGACATGAAAGGCCCTCAGCCTGTCAAACTCAAAATCCATTTCCACAAAGCCATGGGGTAAGCTGTGGTTGCTCCAGCCCACGTAGTCATAGCCTGGCCAGACTCGCAGCTCCAGGCTTTTCCTAAAGTCATCCAGCCCCACCACACCATCCGCCAGCTGGCCAAGACCTCCGTACTGCAGCCTGGCCGGACGGACCAAGGAAGAGGACTTCAGGTACTTCGCTCTCCATCACTCTTTCTCTTTCACACACATATACACATAGCTGTGATCTGGCCCAGCTCCTCACCTCCTACACCAAGGAACATTGGTATACCTTGCACATTGTGCCACCTCTAAGGGCTCCATTCATTCTATGATGTGGATATCTAGCATGGCAATTCCCAGCACAGAGAGGATACATTTTTCTCATTTGCACAAAGGTATCATGGGCTAGTGGTAGCCCTGCCTGCTACCTGCCACTTCTGCTTCTGCCTCTTGAGGCTCCACCTAGCCCATCCTTCTCCCCAGTCTGTCCTCATCATTGGCCACACCACCCAGACTCTCACTCTGACTCCCTCCCACTCAGTCCGCATCTTGCAGGGTCCGTCCACTCCTCTTACTTGTCCACAGTGTGTCCATCGTAGGTGGAATCATTGAGGTACACGGCCTCGGAGAGGTGCATGGTGTGCCCCACAGGGGCGGTATAAGACAGCAGTCCATCTGGGGCAGGGTGAGAGGATCCATCAGAGGATCAAGGCCTCCATCCCTGATCCTGTCTGTGTTAGGCTCAAGGGATGGCAGGCCCCTTCCTCACACTCCAAAAGCCTCTAACACAAAGCCATGCTGGCCAGTCACCTCTTCACTCAGAGAGACTGCTTCTCAACAGTAAAAAGTGGGTTCAGTGACAGTATGATGCTTCACCCCGGAGATCAAGAACATGTGGGCAGCCTTCCCCCCAGACGTGGTTGCAACGTGGACTACAAGAACATCTGCTATGTCATCACCCATGGTGACACCAAGGACCAGGAGTAGGAAAAGCCACCCTAGGCCTCCACTAGGTGCACACTCTGCAGCCAGCCACCCTGATTCCCAATAAAATCCAACTGGTCTTTGTGTCTTAAAAAAATAAAAAAAGAAAGAAAGAGGGTCCACTCTCCACTCCCCTGCCCCCAAAACAGGATTCTCAGGGGGCTGAAAGACTCACCGCTCCAAAGGCAGCCATAGAGCTCCACCCGGAGGCAGACACTCATGACCCTGTCTGCCCGGGGATAGAAGCGAACCAGTCGGGCCACCATAGGGGGACCAAGGTCCTTTAGCACCACTCCCCCAGGGTCCTCATTCCCTGAGATCACCTGCAGGCCAGGAAGTGGGGTAAGCATGTGGGAAGGTTTGAGGGGCAGGATCTAATTCCCTGCCCCAGCTCACAGCAGCCATGGACCGTGAAGGGAGGCACCAAACTGACAGGGCTGTGGGGCACACGCAGGCTCTGACATTCCTCTCAGCCCTAACAGTGTCCTCCCCGCTCCAGTGTCAGTTCTTTCCTCTCTGCTGGCCAAGGCCATCCATCAGCCTCGAATCTGCTCATCCCCATTGAGTAGCTCATTCTACCCAACCTTTCCCTTATGGCTCCTTGCTCACCCACCCCTTCACACCATTCCCTCTGTTCATTCAGCAAACGCTGGCCATGTCCCCCTCCATGCCCAGCATGTCCCCATGGCAAACATCAGGCCCAGTCCCTCCCTTCACAGGGCTCAGGGTCCAGTAAGGAGAAAAAGCTGTGAAGAACAAGAGACAGAGGAGGAGACAAGGACAACAAGTGAAAATGCCCCAGGCAGTCGGAATGAGCCTTGGCATGTTCTAGAAACAACAGGAACACCAGTGAGGCTGGGGAGGGGTAGGATAGGGCGGGAAAAGAGTGGTGGGCAAAGGCCAGCTCTCATTTAGCATTCTAGGAGAAGTTTATCTTTTGTTCTGCAGATGGAAAGTAAGTAGAGGAGACTGAGAAAGGGGCAACACTGTAGCTTCTAGGTGGTGATTTGACTTCAGAGGGACAAAGGCAGAGCAAAGAAGTTTGAAGGTAACTGTCACCCTTTAACCTGGGACTGTGGTCATGGAGGCGGAGAGAAGCAGTTGAGTTCTGGAACTATCATGGGAGTAGAACAGTCAGGCCTTAGGAGGTGAAAGCAGAAGAAGAGCTGGGGTTATGAGCTTTTGCAAAGGTGGGCAGATGGCATTATTATTTCCTGAGCTAAAGAATGCTCACAGCAAGGAGCAGGAGCGGGATGGGTGGAATCGGGCTCAGCTAGGATAGTGTGTGAGTAAATGGTGTTTGAGATCCAGATAGAGTCTTAGGGGAAGAGGTCCAGAAAGTGCTCAAGTCTGCAACACCAGAGGGTGCTCAGGGAGAAGCCCCTGGCTGGAATGGATGTAAATTGGAGAGTCCTTGCTGTTGAAAGGGTAGCTAGAGCCTTCTGGCCCTGGCTGGCAGCCTCACCTCCTGACCCCAGCGGTCCCTCCAGTCCATCCAGCGGTGGCCGTCCCGGGAGTAACGCAGCCTGTAGCTGGGGGAGAACTCCTTGCCCAGGCCACCCGCATGTCGTCCCTGGGTGCCCACTAGAGCCACCAGATGCAGCCGCCGCAAATCCACCTGCAAGTACTCCTCCTCCTTAGGGAACACCGGTGAAGCTGGGCACCATGCCCCGTCCCCGTCACTACTCTCCAGCCTGCAAGGGGGATGGCAGTCACAGGAACATCTGGCTGTCTTTTAGTATCCCTTCTCAAATATTCAAAGGCCCCAGACTGTAGGGATTTCATTAGCATAGCCCCCCCCACCCAAAGCAGAAGATTTTTTTTACTAAGGCAGAGGGGTTAGAATGGTAAGCGGAGGCCCCAAGAACTCCCTAAGGGGTTGCCTAGGTACCTGCTGTGCCGGGCAGCAGTGGAATCTGACCAGGAACTGGAGGCAGAGATATCACTGTCGGGAATGGTCCGGTCCTGCATGCCCAGGGCATAGCGGCACTTGGCTGGGTGGATATAGGCATATGGAGGGTCAAGGTCCCCAACTCTCTGTCTCCCAAGGCCCAAACTTCACAGACCCAAGATCCAAGCTCCTCACCAGGGTCAAAATGCCCTTTCATGTCAGCATCTCCTGTTGCCACCAAGAACAGCAGCAGCTGTAGAGATGAGAGGGCCCCAGGCCCCATAGCTCCTGATCCCTGGGGCCTAAGGAGGTGGGGGCAGCATCTCTGTAGGGGAGAAAATGAGTGGTGGAGTCAGTAAAGGGACAATCAGGGAGAGTGGGTCACAGTCAACAGAGACAGAATGGGCTGCTTTCGGGATGACAACAGCGATCATTTAACAGCTTCAGCTGTACTTTTAGAATGCTTCCAATGTGCCAGACACAAGGAAAGACCCTTAAATAGAATCCATAATTTAATCTTCCCAGGCACCTTGTAAGGTCGATACTATTACTTTCCACATTTAACACAGCAAGAAAACAGGACAGAGATCCATGAAATAACTCATCAAAAGCCTCACTCTCCCAATTAATAAAGAGCTCACCAAAAGCAAATGGCCCTAATAAACAAGGGCTTCAAACAATAGATCCTAAAAAAAAATAAAGTGTAACATAGTTGACTGAGTATGTGCCCATAATCATAATTAACTAAAGTTTCTTACAAAGTGGCAAGAAAAAAATGACCAAAGGAGTTTAATAGACAGGTTCATAGAAGAGCCAATGAGCCAACAACAACAAAAATATTAAGTACTCAAGTTCACTAGAGTTAAAATAAAAAAAATCAAACCCACTGTCATCAAGTCAGATACGACTCCACTGGGTTTCCTGAGGCCATAAATCTTAATGGGAGCAATGTTTCTCCTACAGAGAAGTTGATTTGAACCACTGACCACTAGGTTAGCAGCCTAACACGTAACACACTATGCCATCATGGCTCCGTCACTGTTTTTGCTATGTGCCATCATCCAGTCAGAACCAACTCAAAGCTGACTCACCAGTAAGTTTTCAGATAACAGTAAGTTGCACAGGAAAAGACTGCCCTTCTTTCTCTCACAGAGCAACTGGTGGATTCAAACTCTGTGCCTTTGGGTTGGCCACACACCTCCTTACCACTAAGCCACTACAGCTCCCCACATAATGGTGAACCCACATGTATCAGAGTTGCTGTTAGGGGCTCTCAAGTAGACTGGCTGAAAGGGACCCTATGAACAACAGATCTGAACTCTGCTCAGTTTTGCACCCTTCTCATAATCTCTGCTATTCTCAAACTTGTTGAAATCACTCTACTCCAGTGTCAATTCAATTTTTTGAGGGTCTTCCTCTCCTTCCAAATGCAAAAATACAGTCCAGAAGGTTTACAGTGGCTGATTGTTTGGAAGTAGATCAGAAGGCTTTTGGTCCAAGGTCTCTATGGATTATTTTCTTTTAGCAGCTTTGTGCATTAACCATTTATACCAAGTCTGGGTATCTGCTTCCAGAAAAATCAGCCACTAAAAATAGGTCACGGACAGCTATGAAATTACGATTTTACAATAAACTTGACTTGATAGGATTTCTTTGTGTAACGGCTGAATACAAAAAGCAACACAGAGACATATGAATAAAATGATCTTATCTTTTGTAAGCAAAGAATAAATAGATCTTTGTATTTATATATACATATAGATGTTTAGAGAGGGAAAAGACACATAATAGACTACTATTGTTGTCATGTGCCATCAAATCTGTCATATGAATGAATATTAATGGGGGCGGGAGAAAGAAAGGGGGAAAAAGGAAAAGATTAACTGGTGGTAATTGTTGTTACGTGCCAGTGACTCATAGTGACCCTATGTCTATGTACAACAGCTCTGAACCCTGCTCTATCCTGAGCCAACACTATCTCTGACACATCTACCCCCATTACTCCAGTCACCGAGTCAATCTATCTCATCAAGGGTCTTCCTCTCTTGTGCTGTTCCTCCCCTCTCCCAAGCATGATGTCCCTCTCCAAGAACTGATCCCTCCTTGCAACATGCCCGTTGTACTTTTTTTCCTAATATTCCATAATATAACATGTATGAATTTTTATAGAATTACGGAGCTCTGGTGGCATCGTGGTAAGAAACTGAGCTGCAGTCTCAAAGGCATGCAGTTCAAATCTACCAGCAGTTCTGTGAGAGAAGGATGGGCAATCTCCTCTGGGCTATTAACTTCCTCTGAAAACCCACTGGAGAACAGCACACAACAACAACATCATCTTGGAGAAAGAGGAGCAATCCCCTTCCACACGATTTACTGCCTCTAAAAATCCCACTGGAGGGTAAGCTGTGAGTGTCCTCATACCCCAGCAATGAATTTGAATTTTACATGGTACGTAAAAGAATCTAAAGCCTTTAGATCTTGTTAAATTAAAGATGTCCCAAGGAAGGTTGAGCTACTGCTTGTAGAAAGTATTACATCATTAAGAAGCCTGGACCAGATGAGCCTGCTTCCCTACTCCACCTATAAGCTCAGGGTCCTAAGAGAAATGTGGGACGTGGTGTCCTTCCGCATCACTGTCCTTTGGCCTCCCTAGGCCCAGTGTGGTCCCTAGACTAGCAGTCCCAGCCTCTCAGTACTGGAAGAGCTTGAGAAATGCAGACTCTCAGGATCAAATTACACCTGTGAAATCAGAATCTGCATTTTAACCCAATCTCCAATAATATGGGCCCATTAAAGTGCAAGAATCCCTTCTCCATTCCTTATAAGGGTGCAGGCAATTTGCTCTACCCAAGACCATCCCAACTGTCATCTCTTCATGAACTCAGGTATCTCTTCTGCCTATTCTTAGCAAACAGGGAGATCGGTGGCTTAGTGGTAAAGAATTGCACTTCCAACTCAAAGGCATGTGGTTCAAATCCACCAGCTGCTCTATGGGTGAAAAATGGGCAATCTCTTCCTGCATGATTTACTGTCGGTGAAAACCCACTCTGAGTCAGCTCCAACTCGACAGTACACAACAACATTCCCAGCAAACATTCTGCTGGCCTGTCCCTGTCCCCGAGGCTGGACTGAGTTCTGCGGGCCCTGGATCCTCAGGAACGCCCAGCGCCACCTCCCACATCCCAATTCCTGCCTGCCATCAGGTCTAGCCCCAGTTTCCCCTGCTGTTCCTGCCCAGACTCCTTTCCCTCAGTGTCCATGTTCTGAAGGTGACTGCTCTGAAGGAAGAACCGGGGCTGAGGAAAACATTAAGTTGCCTTGGAGATGAGGGCGGGTCTAACTAAAGACAGGGGAAGCCAGGTCACCCCAGGAGGTAGGAGGAGTGGGGGGATACTCCCCCATCCCTTTGTCCTTCTCCAGCTGCTCCCAGAATGCTCTAGGGCAGGAATGTAAGAGGCAGCTGAGACCCCACAGCTCTGAAGCAGCAGCTGAAGGGAATGACTCGGTTCCGGGGAGCACCTGATAATCAAAGGAGGGCTAGAGCCAGAAGGCATCATTCCTGGTCCCTTGGGGGGGTTGTCCCTGGTGCAGGACAGGAGGCTGCCGGTGTTCCAGGCGGCTGGCCCGGAATTCCTGGGTGCCACTTTCAACCCCCACTTCTTTCAGGAACAGCAGGGCCCTTGTTCCCCTGAGTAACCTTCATGCCTACCCCAGATGACTCATCGGAGCCAGACAGAGCTGAGAAGTGCCTGGGGCAGAGATACAAAGACAGGCAAAGGCTAGGAAGCAGGGGGAGACAGATTGAGAAACACAAAGACAGTGGTAAATAGAGCAGGCTCAGAAACACTGGGTACAGAACTAAGCCAGAAATTCTGAGAAATCTCACCAACCTGTTTTCAAACACCCCACATCTCTCTACAGTCAGACACACTGAGAGTCTTGACCCCATAGTCAGAGGCATAGGTCAGGCCTAGAGTCAGTCAGGCTCCAGCCCCACCCTGTCCCATTACAACCAATTACAAGCCAAGGGCTGGGACACCCTGCCACAGACCCCTTTACTACCCTAACCCCACCCCCGGACAACAACACTCACATAATTCTGTATATACACACACATGGCCAGACACACGCACTCACAGAGCCGGCTGTAAACACTGGGGCTAAATGCAGCGCCAGGGAGGCCAGGGCCCCGTGCACACACACAAACTCTTCAGTGTCTCAGACTTTCAGAAACAGATACTTCCATGTGACAGTCACATAAATCAAATAAATACACAAGTAAACGTCCAGACAGGGCAAACACAGAGGCACTTGAGTGTGCACCTATAGTACACACACCAGCTCCATCCACGCCTTGCACACCTGCCAGTCCAGTGCCAGCATCTGCAGACACCTGTATACACGAAATGACAGATACCACATGCTCCTCCAACTTGAAAATGAGAAGAGATCAAGAACCAGATGGCATCGTGCCTGATTCTTGGGCTAGGCAACCTGGCTACCCACTCTGGCCTTTAGATACTGATCCTGAGAACCAAGTTAGCTACCTAATACACACAGGTGACCACGCCAGAGGGAATGAGGGGGTTGGGAACAGGTGGATTCAAGGATAGGAAACATGGTATAGGAAAAAAAGAGCAGTTTTTCAGTATCCCCAGATCTGTTTTCTATTCTCTACACTTTACCACTCGGTTCTGAACATACCTATATCACTTCGGTAAGAGTGAAGCTGAAGCAAGATTCTTGCTAGGCTGGAGGTGACTGAGGAATGTCCACCCAACAAGGATACTGTGAAGGGAAGACTTGGGGAACGCTAAGGGTGATGCCATCTCATGGCAGAACCAAGTGGCCAACAGCGAGTGCCAGCAGCCAGCCCTCACTGAGGTCAGGGTCCTCACAATCCGGATGTTAGCCTCTCTCCCCTGAGCCACGGCCAGGCTGTCCAACCGGCTGGCTGGGTGGAGGCTTAGCGGTTGGTGGATGGCTCCAGGGACTGGCCAGGTGGGAGGGCAGGCTCACTTCTCCGGGATGTGGAAGAGGATGATTCTGGGCGGCTACATACGGACACCTGTCCCTCTGGAATGCTATTCCTTATTTAAGGCGTCCCTCCTCAAAGCTGGAATACCCTCTTTCTCGCAGGTGAGGCTCCCCTCATTTCAGTCTGAGCACTGGGCAGGCAAGGAGACAGATTTATAAGAACTGGACACAGGGCACAATCCCGAATGTCCTGCGTCCCCGACCTGCCTCACTCTTTGGACGCGCCTCTCTCCCTGGGGCCCAGGCCTCCACCTTCGGTCACTCGGCAGCCCTCTCCCTGCAGGGGTCCCAGGCCGGCGTCCCTACCTCTCACAGCTCTACCCGGCCGACCCAGGCGTCCGATCCGAGAGTGGGGCCTCCCCGGCGGACGGCGGGGCCGAGGGGAGGGGGCGGCGGAGGAGCCAAGAGCTGCAAGCGGGAGGCGCCGGCGGGGCTCGGGTGTCGGGAGGCGGCTCCCGCGAGCAGCTGTCGGGGGCCTGTTCCGGGGAGAGGAGCCAGGGCTGCGGCGGCTCGAGCCCAGGCACCGCCTCCCCGCCTTGGCCCCCCCTCGCTCTCGCCCCTCCCGGCTCCGGCTCCCTCCCTCCTCCGAGCCAAGCACCCAGGCTGCGCGCCTCCGGGCCGCTCCGGGGAGCCAGAGCCGCCGCTCCCACGCCCGGCGCCGCCCTCCCGCTCTCGCTGCGCTCTAGACCGCCACGCCCACCCTGCACACCCCCACGCCCGGCCTCCCCCAGGTAACCACATGGAAGCCCCTCCCTGGGCTGCCCCCCATCGCCACCCCCTCCAGGCGCGTCTGCCCCGTGCCCAACCCCCTCAACCAACCCCCCGCACTAATCTAAACCACCAAAGCTGAGGTCCCAGAAGGCAGGTTGCAGCTTCGGCAGGGCCTGCTGCTCCAGCAACTCAGGGAGGGTTGGGTGGGAAAGGATCGTGCAGGGGATCAGCCCGCGGCACAGGGAAGGGGCAGGTTCCCACAGGCCTAGTGCTCAGCCCAGTAACTGGAGCTGAGGTGAGGAAGGAGTACCAGGCCCACCTGTCCAGCCAGGCCTCCTAGACTGCTCTTTCCAACACAGCCGCTGCTTCTCTCTGGAACCCTCGGGCCCTCAACCTGAGACTTCCCCAGAGCCTGATCAAGGCCCGCTCTCTTCTAAGCCTTAATTCTCTCTATTCTCACCTTCCATTTCTGTTCCCTAACTCCACCCAGCACCCCCAAGTCTTAGCAGGGACTCTGAGGCCCAGACTCCTGGGCCACAGGGACAGCCTCCTTCACATCCAGCTTGACGGTCTGCTCACTGGCAGGGGTAAGGTCCAAAGAAAACAGGACTAGGTGGGAAGTGGGGAAGAGGAAAGAGGAATAGGGAAAATCAAACAAAGCCAAAAAGGCATAGAGATTTGAAGACGGGCATAAGGAGAAGAGTAAACAAATCAAATGAGAGACAAGTGTGAGGCAGAGGACAAGCAGAGGTGGAGAAAACGGAAGAACTTGTTAGAAAGGTGTTCTGCCTTCACTCGGATCTACTTTAGGGGCCTTCTCCACCTCTCCGGAGACCTCTTCCACCTGCCAAGCACCAAGACAATGTCATGAGCAAAGATCTCACAGTCAGTGGCAGGCAGCTCTCCACTAGTAAGTAGAAACTCACAACCCACAACCCACGTGCAGTTCCAAACAGAAAGAGACGTCTGGTAGGAAGTCCCTACCAGAAAAATACACAAAACACTACCAGGAAAAGGCTAGCCTTTGGGCAGGGCCAAAGCACACATGTGCACGAATTCCAGCCGACGGCCAACAGGCAAACCCAAGGACGCCTCAACTTGCTAAACCAAGAAAGGCAAGAATTTAATCGGAAGAATTCCTTCTTTCTGGCGTTCCCCCCTACCAGAGCCCAGGGTTCCTCCAGAGCGCTCACCCCTCCAGAGACAGCCGCTGGTGAATCTGGGCCCGGAGAGGTTGGGCCGGGGTGGAGCCGGGCCGGGGGTGTGGCCAAGGCTCCCCAAGTAACCGCACCTGGGGTACGTCGGCCCCGCCTCCCCGAGGCTGTGCTCGCTGGGACTCGCGACAGGCGGACCCCGCAGAACGGCCGCCAGACGCCTCCGGAGTAGAGCCGGCGTCCCTCACACCCTAGTGGGACATTCCACATCCCAGGCCTGCGACAGCCCCAGTCAGGTGGCATGGCAGCGCCAGACAGAGGGGTCTACTGGGGACACAAAAAGAAGCCAAAACGCCCCGAAACATTTGCTCCCCTTCGTTCTTTCCAAGGGAAATTCCTGTTTGGTGATGCCCACCTCGTCCCAGCCCAGGACTGGAGGAGTGGGAGGTATGCAGGGCTGGGGCCCAAACGGAGTCAAGTGACAGCGGAAAGGGGGCTGGAGCCGGCTGGAATGCGGGGCTCGGAGCCGAGATTCCCAAAGGCCAGAGAGGGAAGTCCCAGCCATCCAGAAGTCCCCAAAGCAGCGCCAAAGGCCACGCGCGCCCACTTGCCCATCAGTGATCCCCGGAACCCACCTCACATTTCTCCATCACTTCCAGCCCCCCCTGTCCTCCTGAACCTCTAAAGGACCCTCTAACCCGCCCCTAGCCAGGGCTTCCCACCTCTTCACGCCAATAGCCTCTAGCTGCCCAAGAGTATAAGGAGTGGAAACAGCTGAGAAAAATGTGCGGAGAGACACATTTAGAAAACACCCAACCTCTTCAGGGAGTCCACAAGCCCTGTGAGAGGAGGATGGACCAGATGAGTGCCCCCCCACCCCATCCCCACACATTAGCTAAGCCCCCTTCCCTGAGCTACAGCTGCCTGGGAAAAGTACTGGGTGAAAGTGAGGAAGGGCTGGTGGAGCAGGGACAGGACAAGGCTGTGGGCATGAGTCAGACAGATACTGCCAGGTACAAAGGGGAAACTGAGGCCTAGCTGTGCAAGGAGGAGAAAGGGATGGTGTGTAATCTGAGAGGAAAGCTATGCAAGTGCCCTCCACTGTGCCAAGACTGGGGGATGGAGAAAGAGGGGACCAGAGGAAGGAGAGGAAGATGGGGACAGAAGCCTGAGAGGGACAGGTGGGAGACTGAGACTGGAGCCACAGTGCTGCAAAGGTGGGATACTCAGAGGGAAAGTGAAAAAGAGTAGAGACAGAACGGGAAGAGTATCAAAACCCCGGAGAAGGTCACAGTGAGGAGACCTGAGAGTTAAGCAGAGTGACCAAGAGGACCAGAACTAAGACAAAGAGAGGAGGGTCTGAGTGAAACCGAAGCACAGATGTTCAAACTGGGCAAGTGAGCAGATAAGATGTAAAAGAGGCTGAGGAAAGAAAGCCCAAAACACAAACTTTTGTTTCTGGCAGCAGGACACAGGGGCCCCAACCCACCTACCCGCAGGGGACACAGTGGGCTCCAGCTACTTACCAAGGCCAGAGAGATGGGGAATAAAGTTGAGGCCTCAGCCTGCTCCCCTCCTCCCACCCTCTGAACCTCCAGCCAGGACCTGGTCCCACCCTACAATGGGAGGGCCCAGCTGCAGTCCCCTCTCCTGCCCTCTCCGTTTAGGTCGGCTTCTTGCCTCTCACCTCCAGTTCAGCGTTCTCTTGGGTCCTGTTCTCCCCAGCCTGGGGTCTTTGGGGTTCCAGGCCTGGGGCTGCCTGGCTTTGTCCGCACGGCCGGGGCCCCGGGGCCCGGGAGCAGCTGCCCAGGCCAGCTGCGGCTGGCTTCACCGTGACCATGGCAACCCAGCCCGCTCCCCTCGTCTGAGCCTCTCAGCCCCCGCAGAGAGGGAGGGAGCAGCCCGACAGAAGAGAAAGGGAGGGGAGGCAGAAGACTGTGAACCGAACCAAAGGGAGACCACAAACAAAGACCCCCCAGACAAAGGAAGGTGAAGCTGGCAGAGTGAGAACGCAGCTTAGCCGGGTGGGCATGGAAAGCTTAGGCAGGGGTCGTTTGGTCCTACTGAAGGAAGGAGTCCAGACCTGTGAGGCAAAGACTTGAGGGACAAAACAGACTAGAAGTGACTCATAGTGGACCTTGGGAGACATCATTCTGGGTCCCTGGCAATTCACATCCTTCACCCAGGATTTCTGGGCCCTAGTGACTCTGGTTTGTATTGAAGGGGACAGAGTGGGGAAGAAGTATGTGAGAAAAAGCAAAGTACCAAATGGGAGCGGGAGAAGGCAAGACCTTGTCTGAGAGGGGAGGATGAAAATGCAGTTCACTTTCTGGCTGGTCTTGGCAGGGTTGTACAACCCCAGCTCCTTCACCTGTGCAATGGAGATAATGCACCAGCATCCGTCCAATGGGATGGTATTCTAATTGCTGTCTGGTCAACCTCAGCTCCCAGAGACCCCATATGTGTCAGAGCAAAACAGTGCTCTATAGGTTTTTTTCAAAGACCAAATTGTGTCTGGGTGAACTTAAACATCCAAACTTTTGGTTAGACACCAAGCACATGAGTCAGTTGCACCACCCACGGACTCAATATGAGATAAAGGGTCGGCTCATCTGATGAAGCAAACATCCAAATGACCTCCCCCTGTGTCACTCTGAGTTTCTCTTCACAATTCATTTCCACACACAGTTACTATTTCTAGTTTTCCCAAGGCAGGAGTGGCATTAAAAGCTATGAAAGATACATTGGGAAATATGACCCACTCCCTGTCCTGGGGCATTTACAGTCTAGATGGAGTGTCAAGCACATATATGTATTGCATTTCAGCTCTGTGGGAGAAAGATAGGCAATCTCCACACCCCCTCCTCCAAGATTTACAGTTTCAGAAACCCATTAGAGGGTTACTGTGAGTCAGAATTGGCTCAGTGGCAGTGAGTTTGAGCTTGACTTTTCTGAATAGAAGACCTGATGAGCCATGGCATAGGCAGAGCTGGAGGAGGCTGTGGGAATTCAGAGGGGACAGAAGTCAGATCTTCCTGAGGGAGGCAGGAGACAGCACTGAGGAAGAATTCAAGGATGCAGTGGAGCTTGAGCGGGACTTAAGTCAGATATGTTTCCAGAAGAAGCTATTCCTTGGAGAAGGACATCATGCTTGGAGAAGTAGAGGGTCAGCGAAAGAGATACAGACCATCAGTGAGATTTACAGGCACACTGACTGCAGCAATGGACTCAAGTGGTTCAGAAATGATGAAGATGGTACAGGAAAGGACAGGGTTCAGATCTGTTTGATTCTACAGTTGCTGTGAGTCGTACTCAACTCAATGCACCTAACAACAAGATTTTTACACAAATGAAAGAGAGAGACATCCTGGCTAAGGAAACCAAGACCAGAAAGAGAAGTGGATGCTGTTATATGAAAATGCACGTGTAGGTAGAAGATGGGATTCTGTTCTAGAATTTCTTGCTGCCATTCTGGTTTATTCTAAAGAAGGAAGTATGAGGA